TAGCATTTGTCCACCCCTCCTGCCCACCCCCCCCCCCCCCCCCACACACACACATGCAGGGCTTGCGTTTGCCAGAACAGGCTGCGTTGTGGACTCTGAGGTTTAAGGAGTTCCCCCCCCACCCCCCCGTGCAATGCTGAGTGCAGTTGGGAGAGACAAGCAGCCCAAGCCAGGGCACCCCAACCCTAACCCCTGTCAAGCCACGGCACCCCCACCCCAATCCAGATCAAGCTAGGGCACCCCAACCCTAATCCCCACCAAGCCAGAGCACCCCACCCTAATCCAAATCAAGCTGGGGTACCCCCACTCCAATCCACATTGAGCTGGAGCACCCCCACCCTAATCCCCACCAAGCTGGGGTATCCCCACCCCAAGCCTCACCAAGCCACGCTATCCTCACCCCTGTCCCTGTCCTGTTTCAGGAGTACTGCCAAGAGATGCAAAGACAAGCACCTGGAGGAGGCTTTCCTGCTGTCACGGGCACTAAGCGAGGGTCTGAAGGCGCTGGGTGAGGCGGAGGCACGGCCTCTGCTCCGCTGCGTCCTGGCTTTCCAGATGGAGTCAACTGGCAGCTCCAGCTCCTTCCAGAAACTGGAACAGGTCCGTAATACAACTGGCTGGGCTGCAGCTTCAGAGCTCTATTAGTCACAAGTGTAAGCGATGGTCTCGCCCGGCTCTGCCTGCTGCCGGCACAGCCCCGGCGCTGTGCATCCTCACCAGCAAAGGGACCGCGGTGATGCCACAGAGCTCCCCTAAAAGCACATTGCAGCTGGTATCTCTCGGGGTTCTGGGCAGACCTGCTGACTCAGGGTGTCTCTCGGCAGATTGTGACCCAGCTGGCGGTGGGGAAGGAAGCCCTGCTGGCCCAGGAGGTGGGCATGCTGCTGGCCGGCCTGGTGCGGCAGGGAGAGGTGAGAGCACCCCGGTTGCGCGGTGGCACCAGCTTTCATGGGGGCTTGGCTGCAACCCATGTGCAACAGGGACATCCTGGTTTGGGCTGCCCGAGGTCCTTGCTTCTCTTCCCACCATGCCGGGGGCTCGCCCTTGCTTGCAGCCGGCAACACGTGGCTGCCCTTCACACCAGCCCTTTGCTCATCGCTGGGACAGCTTCTGGAGCAGGCAGGACCCTCCTGCCCAAGGCACCGAGCCCCAGTGTGTTGTCACATCGGACAAACTGTCCTTCTGCCCCCGCAGGTGCTGTCTCCTGGGGACCTTCAGTCAGGTCAGTCTCTGCTCCTTCCCCTCTTGGGGCTTCTCCCAGCCCATGCCACCAATGCACAGGACACCCCCTACCCACGCAGACCGAGTCCTCTGTGCTTGTGGGACAGATCAGCCGGATCCGTAGGATTTCTGTAGGGGTCCCAGCAGCACTCAGTGGCTCTGCCCACTCACCCAGGGCAGCTGGAAACCAAACAAGCCAAAGCATCCCCTGCATCCCAGCCCTGTTCTTACCCCATTTACTGGCAGCACAGCCCTTGGCTTAACTGGGAGCAGGGCCGGCTGTGGGCACGGTGCCAGGAGGGCTGGGGACTGATGCTGTCCCCTTGTCCACAGTGTGCATGTTCATAGAGGAGAGCAGCCTAGGCCGGCAGCACTGGCGGCAGAACCTCGTCCCTCTGCTGCAACGCCTGGCCACCACCTTACGCTGGGTGCTGCAGAGCCAGCCTCCACCCGGCGGCACTTGGGGCTACCTGGCTGTCAAGGTAAGAGCTGAATTTTGGAGGAGGGGAGAAGGATCAGTCCCTGCAAGGACAGGGATGTACTGGAGCCCCCTCCCAGCCAGGCACTGGCAGCGGTGTCCAGAAGGGATGTGGCACACAGTGCCATTTCGAATGCCCATCTCTGGGGAATTGCTGCTTTTTGAGAGGTGAGGGATGCTGACAGCCATCCCCACGACCCCTGTCCCTCCTCCTCCTCCTCCTCCTCCTCCAGGCCTGCCTCCAGCTCTTCCAGGCACTGCCAAAGGACTTGGCCCCTCTGGCATGGAGCACGGCGGGGAAGAGCAAAGCCCTGCAGAGCCTCTTGGGGCTGTTGCTGGAGGTGGCATGGGGGAAGGTACGTATGGCCGTGGGGAGGGATGGTGCTGCCTGTCCCGAGGAACAGAGCGCTGCTGTCCTTGTCGGGTGCTTTGCCCATTCCCCTCCCCAAGGGGACCGTGCAGAGGCAGCCCCAACACCCGGGGTGCCTGACGGACCCTGCATAGGTGCCTGCATGGGCATGGAGGGAGGATTAAATGGAGTCTGGTTTTCAAATGGTGTTTTGAGCTGTGCCTTTGCCTCCCCTGTGAGTCCAGGCCCTGAACAAGGACACGCGGCTGCTGGCGGGTACGGCCCTGAGCATGCTGGTGAACACAGCCCCCCAGCCCGAGCGTGGGGCCAGCGCCCTGCTGGCCCTTTTTCAGCTCCCTGACCGAGGTGCGTGCTCTGTCCCAAGCCGGGGACAGCCTCTGGTGAAGGGGACAGCGGGGACAGGCATGTTTGGGTGCAAGGGGACAGAGGCCAGTGCCACTCACCAGCAGTCCAAGCTGGATTCTTCTGTCGTGTTCTGCTCTTGGGGTGCGGGAGCCCCAGCTGCCACCGGCTACCTCCCATGGTCACTCTGGGACGAGCCAGGGCAGTTCGCTCTCAGAGCAGCATTTGGGTTTGCCGTCTTTCTGCCATCTAACGCAGCCATTTCCAACCAGGTGCAGGGGAGCTGAAGTTTGGGGAGCTGACAGTGGAGGCCCCCTCCAGCCTGGAGCCGGATGGGCTGGAGAAGCTGGTGCTCACCAGAGGTTTGCTGACGTGCTGCAAGACGGATATCCTCAGCTGCCAGCTGGAGACCTGCACCCACAAGGTAGGAGAGCACAAATCCAACGGCCAGGGATTTGGAGACCCCCTTGTGTGGGGCTGGCAGCTGCCGACGGGGGCTGTGGATCCCTGGGGGACATAACCAGCCTGCACCACTCCACAGCAGCAGCTCCACGCATCCCAGTGAGCATGGCGCGTTAGCCAGGAGCTTGCTTTTTCCATAGACATCTGAACGGGGATTTCCCTCTCCTGGGGGTGGTGAGAAGCCAGGTGGTGCCCAAAGTAGCCCCCACACAAGAGAAGCAGCAGCAGCATTCACCCCCTGGGCAGAGCACAGCCTCCAGCTCTGCCCATCTGCAGCATCTTCCAAGTCCTCGCATGCTGAGGGCTTCTAGACAGGGAGCAAAAGCTAGCAATAAGCTGCTGTAAGAGCAGGAAAACCACAGAGTGCTCTCGCCTGTCTCGTGGTGGGGTATTCTCACCCTGGAAAGCCCGTGCCTGCCCGATCCCTGAGCCACTATGCTCCCGCAGGCCTGCCTGCTGCTGGACATTGTCTTTCCCACTGTGTGTGCCCTGACCAAGGAGCAGAAGGACTGTCATTACTACTGCTTCCAAGGTAGGAAACGATGACCCTGCCATAGCAGCGGGGTTTGAAGGATTCACTGTGCTCATGATGCATGGAACCTCCATGGCTCTTCATCTTTTTCTGGGGAAGATGCTTTTCTGGATCTTGGTGGCTGGTTTGGAAACTGCTGTTAATATCTGCTCCAGCCTGATGGACACTAACCCTCCCAGGCTCTTGTGTACCTAACAGGGAAACTGCTCCCCTTGCGCACAGGGTCCTTAAGCCCGGCAGCCCGCGACAGCTCTGCTGCATGTGAG